ACTTCGCAAGGAGATCTAGAGATTGCCCATGTCGTCCTTGTTTAAGGAGAGTCTTCGAGGTTGTGGACACTGTATGATGATCCTCCTGAACGCTCAGGATTTCGATGCATTATCGATGCATCGTCGACGCATCACTGTCGTGACGTTGAAACTCTATTTTCCTACTTTCAACTTATTTTCTACTTCATTTAGTGATAATTTGTGTGATTTAAAATTTTCAAGCTATACTTCATTCAATTATGATTCTTCTGGCTTTTATAGATCTTAATTTGATCAAATAAATTATCTGTAATTACTTACGTAAGAATTACTGAGCAGAACTCTATTTCCGTTCGATTCACATTCGTTGGGCGTTGACATCATCCTGACGTTCGCATGCTTATTTCACTTTTTCACAAATTTTAAATATATTTTATTTTTATTTCTTAGTATAAAATTCATAAAAACTCATATTCTTTGAGATTTTTTTTGAAAAATTACTTGATATTATATTTCATCCTTATGATTGATCTGAAAAGTTATCACTATTTTTGGAAGTTTTATTGAATTATAATTAATATATTTGTTTATAAATACTTCTAAATATATGAAAATTAGTATTTTCTAGTTTTATAAATTTTAAAATTTGTGTGATTTACTATACAATGACTAAGTCATGTCATCCCCTTACTAAAATAACTTTCCTTCAAGAGGAAGAAAATAATTGTCGGTGTTGAAGTTGTAAAGGGGTTGATACACATGAGGATATCATGCACATATTACCTTTGTGAACAATGTAAACTATAGGCTAGTTATCCCACTCTAGGCGTTTAATGAAACACATATGTGCTGCTCAACCGTAAGATAAACAATGAGAACAATAGCTTTGAAAAAATTAGTTCTCCTTTACCAAAACACCTGGCCAAAAGGGTTTCATCCATGAGCATTAAACCGTGGAAGGGGTGACTCACTAAATATACATAGGCATCTAATGTCATAATAATAAGTGAATTATTCTTATGGCATGAGTGGGTGGATGATGATGACGTGAGGCATGTGGTTTCCAGACGTCTTTGCTTCGTTCATAAGACTCTCCTATCTATAACTGCAGGCTGAAGAAGCTCTGGATTCTCCTCTGACGTGGGCTGAATCAGCCCTCTACTCTGCTCTAACAGAGCTGAACTAGTCAACCCTTCACCCTACAAAAATTGCAGTAGTTTCGGAAGAAGAAGACTGTGCTTCATGTGAGGAGTGTGGGCTACTCTTGACAATTAGCTCTACCAGTAAATTTTTACTGGCCTTTTGGTGATATCTCAATCCTCCATTCATGGAGTTAAGAGGCTGAGATCTCTACCTCTGCCACTTTTGGCAGCAGTCACTTTTGTAGGAGAGGACGGTAATGTGAGTTGTTGCTGACCTCGTGCCAAGTTCTTGTAGTCACCATACTTCATCTGCCATTCGATGAACATAAAACGGTTAGCTAGGAATGATTGAAGTCTGACACATGAATCCATTAACTTTGCCTGGCTTCTTAAAATGAGCAATCTTGTGCAAGAAGGTAAAGTAAACAAAAATGAAGAGTGAGAAAATGACACATAAGTTCACACAATCCAGGGTGTATGAATACCAAGGAAGAGGAGAAGGATGATGAATTTATTTTTGTTGATAATTTTATTGTATGATTAGACTGAATTGTGGACATGTATGCTCAATTATAGAGGACATCGTTCTAAGCTCAATGATTAACTAACGATTCAACTGCCTAGAGAAATTGATGCCTGCCTAGTAGCCTTTCTTTTCATCATAATAGTATTTGAAGTAAGAATTAGATGCACAAATTCATTGAGTTCCATTGTGGTAGGTTTGTTCTATGAAAGACAAGGTAGACTAAATCAGACCCGACCATATTGAGAGAGCAAGAGAGAGAGAGAGAGAGAGAGAGGAAAAACAAAAGATGTTGGTGGTGTCAGCCCATCCTCACTGACCTGTTTGGGGGACGTATAGGGAGTGGTTGGTAGTGTTAGTCCATCCCCATTGACTTGTTCAGGGTTGTGCATAGAGAGTGGGCATCGAAAATGAGGGTAGTTAAAAATACCAACTCCTAGACGTGTGAGCCTGCCCACATAGATCATGAATGCCCCTTTTTTGAAGGGTAATTATCATTTCTCTTTTTCTTTTATAAGTAAGGCATTTGTTTCTTTTTGTTTGCACGAGGATGAACAGAGAACTTTTTTTTCTTCTTAGAATCTCTCCTCTCTCTTGGTTCTTTGGTCTCTCCATCAAATCTCTCTCTTTCTTGGTCTCTCTCTTCTTTCTTCTAGTATAAGTAAAGCCTTTATAGAAGAGAAAAAGAGTTCATTACTTAGTCAATGATGTGAGGGCTGTCTCAAGGGTGTTGAGATGTGGATTGGAGGTGTTTAGTAAAAGACTTTTCCTCATTAGGATTTTTCATAGCTTGGTGATTTCTCTTTAATTATTTACTCTCACTAATATCCATAAATTGAGTTTAAGTTATTATCATGATTCTATACTTACCTATTTTCTTACAAAAGAGAAGCAACAAGCAAGTATCTATGTTAATAAGAAAGAGAAATATAGACAATAGTTTATTTTACACTTTTATACATGTTTAATAGGACTATCTTACATATAATAATAATAAATAATGGACAGTATGTGTGTAAGTTCACCCATTTATTATCTAGCACAAATGCCCTAAGAATAGAGCAATTACCCGTTATTTAATTTTTCTTAGAATTTGATAGAATAATATTAGCCTACGAGGGAGGGAGACATTGACTTGTTGAGTTTTCACAAGGAGAAAGATAAGCTAGCATGTTTGTTGCTAATTTATCATGAAGAGATGATAGGAAGATGAAGACATGAACCACCATTTGGAAATAAAATAAAATCTATATTGAAGGACGTGAAAAATTTCTAAATAATGTCTGTACTTTGACATGATTTAAATCTAATGTATTGTGCTTGTTAACTCCTACCTCATGCAGACACCTCAAAAAATCGTGCTTTCATGTGTTCAAAGAAGTTATTATCCTTCTTTGAGGGGCACTTTGTCATTAGGAGAGTTGTTCTTACTTGAGGTGGCTTCCATCTGAAAAATTCCATCATTAGCCCATAGCATATGTCACAAACATAGAAAGTCATACGACCACCTTAGCATGCCATAGAGGCTGTTGAGGTGAAGGTCAAACTCAAACATATGTTATGTAGTTGATAACTTGAGAAATTATCATATTAAAGGGGCGAGAAGATTAGTGTTTAAGGCCTAAGGAATATAGGAATATGATGAGTACACATTCAATACCTATGCATTTTCATATGATGGTTTATGAACTATATCATTTTTCTATTTTCTATATGGATGGAACTATCAAGATAAATGAGAAGAGAAATATATGATTAATAGTTGTTGGAGGGAAGAGGATTAATAGATAATCATGATGCATGAGAATGAGCATATATTTATTCTTAGTTTCATCATGAACTATTGAAGAATTAGCGAACATAAAAAGGTAAAATTGTAAAATTGACTTGTTATTTTTGCAAATTGAGAGGGGCATAAGGGGCATGCCTACAATATGTCAAACGATCCCAAAAGGGGACTCGCCACCAGCTTACCCCCGTATTCACCATCACCTCTTCCTCTTCCCCAGTTTGGCGTAATTCTTTCCTACCATGGAACCAGCCTCCTCTCCCCTTCTCCCTTAGTGCTACTTGCACACTGACATGACTTAGTCGTTGTATAGTAAATCACGCAAATTTAAAATTTATAAAACTAGAAAATATGAATTTTCAGATATTTAGAAGTATTTTTGAATAAATATATTAAGTATAATTCAATAAAACATCCAAAAATAGCGATCCTTTTTCAAGTCGATCACAGGGATGTAATATAATATCTGATAATTATTTAGAATTTTCATCAAAGAATATTATTTTATATGAATTTTATACTAAGAAATGAAAAAGAAATATTTTTAAAATTCATGAAAAAAGGAAATAAGGGTTCGGACGTCAGGATGATGTTAGCGCCCGACGAACGCGAAGCAGGTTAAAACAGAGTTCCACCTAGTGATTGTTATGTAAGCGATTATAGAAGATTTAATTGATCAAATTAAGATCTGTAAAAGTCGAAAGAATTATAATTGAATGAAGTATATCTTGGTAAATTTAAATCACACAAATTATCATTAAATGAAGTAGAAATTAAGTTGAAAGTAGGAAAATAAAGTTCCGACATTGCGGCGGCGATGCGTCAGCGATGCACGAGAATCCTGAATGTTCGAAAGGATCATTGTGCAGTGTCTACGGCCTTGAAGGCTCTCTTTGGACAAAGACGACGTGGGCAATCTCTAGATCTCCTTGTAAAGTCTAGAGATCAATGAAATGGGTCATTGAATCGTCTCCGGCGGCTGTCATCCAGCAGATCGAAAAAACGGCGACTTTGTGGCTCTCTAGTGGCTGTCACCTGACGGAGAGGAGTTGGATGGAGGTGGGGCGTGTGTCAGGGAGCTCCATCCTCAGACTCGCGCAGCAAGAGGAGGCTCTTCATCGCATCCAGTATGCTCTCAGGAGGTGGCGACTCGTCTCTTGGCAGATCGTCCTCTTCCCGACGACAACTTGTTTGTCGATCAATCGGAGATGTTTTACCTTCTAGTAATGTTACATCTGAAAGCAAGTCCCTTTCTCGTGCGTGTACGACTAATCCTTGCTCCATAGCCGGCTAGCCATGGGTGATGTGGAAGGGGAGTGGTGCACACGTGCCCCTATCGATCCAAGTCTGTTTTATTTTTTTTAATTTCTTTTTCGTCATTTATCTCAAAAGTAAGATTGTAAAAATCATATAAACTCGTATAAAATCACATAATTACCCAAAAAAATCACATTAATCAACTGAAAACTATTTTTCACACTTTAACACAAATATAAGTCTAATTATCATGAGTTAAGGCTAAAACTATATTATTTACTAATTATTAACTCATGATAATGAAGACTTATCACACACCATAGGTGGCCAAGCTCTTCCCTCCTTCCCCTTCTAGTAGTGATAGTAATAGGGGATGATCGTGAATCTCCTCTCTTGGCACAACAAGAAGAGGATCAACCGAAGAAGCCCTTACATGAGGCCACCATTCTCTCCCCACACCCATTAGAACAGGAGGGAGAAGTTTATTTCTATTTCATTCCTTTTTAATTGGTTGTAATTGAACTCCTAACCTTTCTCTAATACAAGTTATATTTTGTCAATCAGTTCCCCTTGTCATTTCAGTGATTTGATCATTTAAATTCACTGAAGGATTCGAGGAACCCTTTCCATCAAACATCTGTAACTAGTTTACATTGTGTTTGGTGAGACTTTGAGAGAATTTCTCCTCTCAACATGCATTCAACCTTTTTAATGACTTAGGGAATTTTACATTCATCTAATTGTTGCTAAATTTTAGAAAACAAAACGGAATAGAATTAAACCATTAATTAATATACATCAACCAATCATATAATTCTCGTTGTGTTCAACTTGAAATCTACTATATAATTGAAATAGAAATATAATTGGAGCCAATTTATAAATTTAAGATTTGAGGACTTTAATTAACGAGAACTAGAGTCCATCAATAGTGAAAGCATTTTACTTGTAAAACTCAGTTAATTATTTAACAATTCACTAACATTACAAGACAATATTGTCATTGAGTCAATATCCTCAAACAAGTGGAAGATAAATAACTCTTATTAGGATGGCTTGGATGCGAGTATTAAATCAGTCCAACCCCCTTTCTTTAAAACAAATTGAAGAAGGGGATTGAGGGGACTTCCTCTCCCTACTTTGGTGTTTGTAAGAAGTCGTATTAACCTCTTCATTCCACAAAATCCACTCGTGTGGCATTCTTCTTCGTTATTCTTCTTGAATATCTAGTGTTTTGCAGATATGACACATCTCCATCAACCTTTCTAGATTTTTTTGATCAGATGTCACGAACCACTAGTAGTCAAGCCAGCTAATGTCTTTCAAGCTTGTTTTTTTTGCCCAAATCTGCAAAAACTGATCCTGGGCACAATTTTTAGTCAGGATGGAGGGAGGTTCATTAAGGATATTGTTGTTCCCACCACCAACCCCCTAAATCCCACCCAACAAGGACGCGAACTGATAATTTTTTTTATTTAATAGATAAGATATTGTGAGTGTCTTTCTTGAAATCATTATAGCATAGCTGGATGATTAAATACATGATGGAGTCCCTATCCAATGTGCCCACCCCACTGCTCTACCTTCGCAGCCTCTCGATCATACTCAAATGCCCAAGAATCTAATTGATAGAAGAAGATCTGGTAACTAGCACCAAATGTTGATAGGTTGCATTTTCTGAGGCTGTCCCTGAGAGAGAGAAAGGATCTCATCTTTAGACCAAAAATGATAGAGAGGGGGGGAGAGAGAGAGCTCTGGGGATAGGGCTGGGGTGAGCAAGATGTCTATGGTGGAAGAGGTCGCAGCGCCACCAAGATGGGGAGAGAAACCTATGCACATTTTGGCGTATCTAATCAAACATGGAGCAGTGCCATTCATCGTCTCCACGATGACCTTGCTGGCATTCTTTCCTACTCCTAGAGCTTAACCATACTGCTGTTGAGGGATGTCATGTCCAGTGCCCAGTATCAACTAAGATCTTTAATAAGAATCAAAGAAATGAGCCATCATCTTTTGTTTCTAATCATCAAAGAGGTTATACATGAAAAATAATAGGTAGGAGAAGAAAAGGATCTTGATAAAGAAATTAATGTGTAAAAATTACCATAGTTGATTGTACATTTTGTACTTATAGAGATTCTAATTTTTAAGAATCAGAAACTTTTTAAGAATTGGAGGTTTTTGTTTTAGTGCTATTTGAGGTTGCTGTTGAAACAACAACATCTCTCAATTGTTGAGCTAGCCAATCTTTTATTGTTGGTTGGTGAGCTGGCTGGTCTGCTGAGCTGTCCAATGCTTTATGCTTTCACATTCCTCAGCAAGCTCAACTTTGGTGCCATTGAGAGAGATGGGCAAGATGTTGACCTTGTTCTGTAACCAATGAAACTGTTGTTTTGGGAGGGGTTTTGTGAGGACATCAGCTGTTTGATCTTTGTTGGATATGAATGCTATTTGGAGGCATTTTGATGCGACATGTTCGTGAACAAAATGGTAGTCAACCTCGATGTTCTTCATTCTTATGTCAAACACGACTAATGGCCATATCTGTTGCTCCGATGTTGTCGCACCACAAGGTAGGTGCAATGGTGAATTAGATCTGTAATTCACAAAGTAGAGATATGAACCAAATGACTTTAGTGGTAGCATTTGAAATTGCTTTATAATTGGCCTATGTACTCAATCGTGCAACAGTCAATTGCTTCTTGGAGCTCATGACACAAGGTACTTAGATAAATCAAATAACCTTCAGTGGAATGATGATCTATAAATGATCCAGCCCAATTCGCATCGCTAAATGCATGAAGAGAGACGTCAAAGTTTTTATGAATATAAAGTCCATGGAAGTTACTCCCTTTTAGATAATGGAGCAGATGTTTTAGTTGGGTCCAATCTTTTGCATTTAGGTCATGCATCTTCTAACATGCTCTATTAACGGTGGAGATATCAGATCATGTGATTGTGAGGTATTGAAGGCTCGTTACAATGCTGTGATACATAGTATCGTCTGGTGTTGCGGTTAATGAGCATGATTGAGAAGAAATCAAGCATGGAATTGGGGCTAATTTACATGTTTCCATATGTAATTTTGCCAAAATTTATGAAATATATTCTAATTGAGATAGTACACAATCAGAGGCTTGAGGAGTGAGTTTGATACCCAAAAAATAGCTAGCTGGCCTAGGATTCTGAAGCATGAAGACATATTTGAGTGATGTGATGAGATCTTTAATATTGTGAGAGTCAAGACTTAAGGTTAAAATATCATCAACATATGTGAGAAGAAAATATGGACTATGGTGATTGTATTTATAAAATAGTGATGTGTTAGTTTTTGAGCCACAGAAGCCGATGGATTATAGATATGAAGATAATTTCTTAAACCATTCACATGGTGATTGTTTTAAAGTGTAAAGTGATTTGCGCAATAAACACGATGATGTGAGAAACATGGATTAGAAACCTAATGGTTGTTTCATATAGATTGTTTTAGTAAGATTGTCATTCAAGAAAGTGTTAGATATATCTAATTGATGAATGTGCCAATTTTGGCTAATAGCTAGAGAAAGTAAGACGCGTACAATTGTAATTTTAATAATGGGGCTAAAAATTTCAAAATAATCAAATCTGGCTTGTTAATTAAACATGTGAGCCACTAACATGGCTTTGTAGTGGTCAATTTTTCCATCAGAATGGGATTTGAGCTGATATACCCATTTGTTGCCAAGAATATGCATGTTTAGATGTTCAGTTACCAAAGACTAGGTCTTATTCTAAATGAGGTCATTATACTCATCTGTCATTGCTTGAGCCCAAAGTAGATTTTGGAAGGCTTGAATTAGACTTGTGGGTTTGGTGATGGTAGAGGTTGAAGTAGTGAAGTAGACATGGAGTGGATATTATGTACAAGAATTTTCTTAGCATTGGGATGTCTTGTGCTTAGTGATAATATGCTAAAATGACTCATTAATTACCTTAAAGTGAATATATTTTAGGATTAAATGTCTTATTTTAGCATGTTATTATTTATCAAATAGCCAAATAATAATTTTATAATGATTCTAAGAAATTTTCCTATTTTATAAATATTTTTGATTTTTTTATGACTTTTTTTGAATTTATTTTAATATATTTAAGTCATGAGGATATTTAAGTAATTTAGGGATATATATATATTTTATTCCACACATTCTAGGGCTTTTTGCAATTTCCCATAGTTAATGACACGTGTCAGCCACTGAATTTTTATATATATTTGACATGCCGTATGCGATGCAGCAGTACAATGATTATTTAATTCATAAATAGTTTATTCAAGCCCCAATTACACGGAATATGAGAAGATGAGGTACTTTTGCGACAAGACACCCAATAAATGGCCTAGATTTCTCCATCTTCTAGGATCGATATATGATGATCCATAAGGGGTTTCAAGCCCAAATTTTGTGTGCACGATCTTCAAGAAGTGATCTTCGTATCCCCACATTCGGATTAACAAATCGGCTTCAAGAAGGTTGTAAAAATGAAAGAGAGAAGCTAGAAGTATTTTAAGAAAGGGTCAAGGGTATTTTGGGAAACTTTACTACTAATATATATTCCCTTCATCCTCTTTCCTTCACATCTTTTTGGAAAGAGCTCTAACAGTGGTTGGTTGGAGTGAAACAACTTCTATTCTAAATATTTATTCTTCCTCCTCTTTTGTGTAATCGAGTGATCAAGAGAGGCTTTGTGGGTAAAGTTGAATGTTGAGAATTGAGTTGCAAGAAGTAAAGTGTTGAAAATTAACTTGTCGAAGGAAATCGCTTGACCTTGGTGATAAATAAAGGCCCAAGTTGAGCAATCTTCTTCCTTGTGCTTATTTGTTTCCTTTCTTTCTTTCCTAAGTTGAAACCTAGGGTTTTAGATATGTTCTTAGTAGTTATATTATTCCTTGTTAACTTCGACCACTCTTTCTCATTAAAATACTTTTAAAACTGTTTTTCTACAACCCCCTAGGTCAACCCTGATCTAAGGTTTTCTTCATTACATCTCATTTCACTCATATTTTTCGTCTCCTACTCATCTCTCATCTCTCTTTCTCTTGTCCATTTTCTAATCTATTTCTTCTCATTACTTAAGATTTCTTAAGATCATTAATTTTTATCCATGGTTCGACCTCTATTTTACTGTCTCTACTCATTAGATTGATTAGGATAGTAGAAATATAAATAGTTTTAGTTAACCCCACTTAGGACCTACAACATCTCAAGTCTAGAGTTATCATTTAGCAAGAATTAGACGGGTTTCATTTGGAACTTGGATGTATAATTCTTGATAGAATTGTTACAATGATTGGGTTTTTGGTGAGGGGGAGGGGGATTACTAGCTTCAACTTCTTAAGAAGTGGTTGTATGAGTGTCTTGAGTCAATTGCATGTTTGTTTTAGTGGATTTGGAGTTGTAAGTTAGTCTAAACTAGTGGGGGTTA